CCAACATGGCGAAAACCAATCTCCACTAAAAATACAAAAATTAGTCAGGCGTGGTGGCATGCGCCTGTAAACCCAGTTACTCGGGAGGCTGAGACAGGCGAATCCCTTCAACCCAGGAGGCAGAGTTTGCAGTGAGTCGAGATCGCACCATTGCACTCCAGCCTGGGTAACAAGAGCGAAACTCCGTCTCAAAAACAAAAACAAAAACCACTCCTGTATTTTAGTAGGAAACAAGTTTTAGAAAAAAACTCTAACCATATCTCAAATTCCACAGCCTCAAATCGAATACATGCACCGTTACACATGGTTTTTATTTGTTTTTGTTTTGTTTTCTTTGAGACAGAGTCTCACTCTGTCGCCAGCCTCCCAAGTACCTTGGACTACAGGTGCATGCCACCACGCCCAGCTAATTTTTGAGTTGTTAGTAGAGACGGGGTTTCCCCATGTTGTCCAGGTTGGTCTCAATCTCTTGACCTCATGATCCGCCCGCCTTGGCCTCCCAAAGTATTGGGATGACAGGCATGAGCCACTGCACCCGGCCTGTTATACATAGTTTTAAAAAATTAATATTCTCAGATTAAATCCAGAATGGTCACAATTACTAAGAATTTTTTGTTTTGCTTTTATTTTTTCATTTTTAATTGCATTTTTATTCTTTTATTTTTACTTCCTTTACTTGTAACATTTCCCTCCTCAAGACGGATTGTTCAAAATGTATAGTTTTCTCATTTTCAAATTATATAATTTTGGCTGGGCACGGTGGCTTATGCCTGTAATTCCAGCAGTTTGGAAGGCCGAGGCGGGTGGATCACGAGGTCAAGAGATCGAGACCATCCTGGTCAACAAGGTGAAACCCCATCTCTACTAAAAATACAAAAATTAGCTGGGCATGGTGGTGCACGCCTGTAGTCCCAGCTACTCAGGAGGCTGAGGCAGGAGAATTGCTTGAACCCAGGAGGCAGAGGTTGCGGTCAGCCGAGATCGTGCCATTGCACTCCAGCCTGGGTAACAACAGCAAAACTCTGTCTAAAAAAAAAGAAAGAAAGAAAGAAAAGAAGCATGGAGGCTAGACACAGTGGCTCACGCCTGTAATCCCAGCACTTTCGGAGGCCGAGGCAGGTGGATCACTTGAGGTCAGGAACTTGAGATCAGCCTGACCAACATGGTAAAACCTTGCCTCCACTAAAAATATAAAATTAGCCAGGCATGGTGGCGAGGCGCCTGTCATCCCACCTACTGAGGAGGCTGAGGCAGGAGAATTTCTTGAACCAGGGAGGCAGAGGTTGCAGTGAGCTAGGATGGCACCACTGCACTCCAGCCTGGGTGACAGGGCAAGACGCTGTCTCAAATAATTAATTAATTAATTAATGGAATAGACAGCTCTGTCCATCACCCCGCAGGCTGAAGCCTAACTTCCTTGGCTTGACTCACTAGGTCCGGAGAGCCCCTGCTACCCTCTGGCCAGTGTGCTCATCTGACCTCCAGTTTTCAGAACTCCTGGTGGGCTGCAAACCACCAAGCTGTCCCATCTCCCTTCCCTTCTTCACAAGGCCAGGTCCTACTTTTTCTTCGGCTCTCTCTTTCAACCTCTCCCCTCCGTGAGGATGGCTGTGTCTCCCTAAATGCTTCTGCAAACCTCGTGCTTTCCCCACCCGCAGCTCTCATTGCCTGTAATGAAAGTGCCCAAATAAATGTCTGTATCCTCCCTAAGCCCAGCAGAGATGGCAGTGTTATCTGCCTTATTTCCCTTATTCGGCACCAGCTCAATGAAGAGTTGTGGAGTCACTGAAATAAATATGAAAATATAGGTTAGGTGTTAGAAAAAGAGCTAAGAGGATCTTTTATAGGAGTGTTTATTTCATTTTTATTTTTCTTTTCTAGATGGATTCTTGCTCTGTCACCCAGGCTGGAGTGCAGTGGCAGGATCTCTCGGCTCACTGCAACCTCTACCTTTCAGGTTCAAGCAATTCTTCTGCCTTTGCCTCCTGAGTAGCTGGGACTACAGGCACATGCCACCACATCCAGCTTATTTTATTTTATTGTTTGTTTATTTATTTATTTATTATTATTTTTTAAAGATGGGGTTTCACCATGATGGCCAGGTTGATCCTGACCTCAGGTGATCCACCCACCTTGGCCTCCCATAGTGCTAGGATTACAGGCGTGAGCCACCGCGCCCAGCTATTTTTTTTAAGACAGGGCCTCACTCTGTCACCCAGGCTGGAGTGCAGTGGCGTGATCTCAGCTCACTGCAACCTCCACCCTCAGGGCTCACGCAATCCTCCCACCTCAGCCTCCCAAGTAGCTGCCTATAGACATGCACCACCATGCCTGGCTATTTTTTTGTATTTTTAGTAGAGACAGGTGTCTTGTCATATAGCCCAGCCTGGTTTTGAATGCCTGAGCTCAAAGCCATCCACCTGCCTCAAGCCTCCCAAAGTGCTAGGATTACAGGCATGAGCCACAGCCACTGGCCAGGAGTGTTTTTTATTTAATTTAATTTATTTGTTTCGTTTTGTTTTTTGAGATTGAGTCTCACTCTGTCGCCCAGGCTGGATTACAATGGTGCAGTCTTGGCTCACTGCCTCCCAGGTTCAAGAGATTCTCCTGCCTTAGCCTCCCAAGTAACTGGGATTATAGGCACCCACCATCACACCTGGCTAATGTGTTTATTAAAAAAAAAAAAAAGCCGGGCGTGGTGGCTCACATCTGTAATCCAAGGTCAGGAGTTCAAGACCACCCTGACCAACATGGTGAAACCCCGTCTTAATAAAAAAAAAGAAAAAAGAAAAAAGGGGGAAAAAAAGAAATTGTATCTTTGTAGAGAATGTATACATGCATAGTTTGCAACATTTTTGTTGGTTGTTACATTTTACATTTGTATAACAAGACAGGCAAGCCATCTTCACCCTCATAACCAACATTTTTTTTTTTTTTTTTTTGAGATGGAGTTTCGCTCTCGTTACCCAGGCTGGAGTGCAATGGCACGATCTCGGCTCACCGCAACCTCCGCCTCCTGGGTTCAGTCAATTCTCCTGCCTCAGCCTCCTGAGTAGCTGGGATTACAGGCACCCATCACCGTGCCCAGCTAATTTTTTTGTATTTTTAGTAGAGACGGGGTTTCACCATGTTGACCAGGATGGTCTTGATCTGTTGACCTCGTGATCCACCCGCCTCGGCCTCCCAAAGTGCTGGGATTACAGGCTTGAGCCACCGTGCCCGGCCCATAACCAACATTTTTTATGGAACACTCTGAGGTACAGGCATTCAGAAGCCCAAACATGGAGGACCATGCCTGACCCAAATGGAGTCTCCAGAATCAAAAGTGGTCAAAATAATCATCCATGGTCCTCAGACCAAGTAAGATCTCCTTAGCAACAGTTCTCTGAGCCAAGATAATGTTGAGGGGGAAATGATCACAGTATAGCATACATGTATCACAATCTTACATAAAATGGTGTAAATCTATAATTATGTAAGCATACAATATGTGCAAAGTAGTAATGTTCATCAAGTTGTAAACAATGGTTATCTCTGGGCTAAGGATTCCAAATGACCTTTCCTTTCCCTTTTTTTTTTTTTTTTCAGTGCCGTGACTCGGATTTCTTTCTTTCTTTCTTTCTTTTTTTTTTTTTTTGAGACAAGTCTCACTCTGTCGCCCAGGCTGGAATGCAGTGGCGCAGTCATCGCTCACTGCAGCCTCCACATCCTGAGCTAAAGCAATCCTTCTGCCTCAGCCTCCCAAACTGCAGGGATTACATGCATGAGCCACTACGTCCAGACTAAATATGTGTTCAACTAAAGCAGAAACATCATTACCCGAGAAGGCTTTATATCAGGAAAGAGGAGAGAAGTGAGGAAAGGAGAGAGAACAAAAAAAGAGACTTAAATTATAAGCGTTGAAGGTAAGGATGGGAAGGCAATTCGGATTCAAACCTCAGGGCCCCATTGAGGCTTTTACCTCCCTGACCACTGGGAGGCTGGTGGCTTTTCACCCATCTGGGTTCACTTTTATTTGTCTGTGAGCTGTCACCATCTTTCCCGCCTTGCATTGCCCTGCCTCCGCCAGAGAGGCAGAGTTGGGAGTTGTGGCACAGGCATGCACACTGGGCAGCCTCCCACACCTGCACCCTGAAAGACCATCAGACGCCCTAAGAAACCTGACACAAGCACAACTGATAAGATACACGAAAAAGGCAAAGGCGAACAGAGAGCAAAACATGGCTAATATTACACAGTGCTGCAAGAGAAAGTAACACCAAAACACAGATGTCATCTCTCAGTTCCTTCTCTTTAAAAAAAAAGGTCAGGCGTGGTGGCTCACGCCTGTATTTCCAGCATTTTGGGAGGCTGAGGTGGGCGGATCACTTGAGGCCAGGAGTTTGAGACCAGCCTAGCCAACCAAGGCCAATGTGGTGAAACCTCATCTCTACAAAAAATTAGCTGGGTGTGGTGGCACACACCTGTGATCCCAGCTACTCGGAGGCTGAGGCAGGAGTATCGCTTAAACCTGGGAGGCAGAGGTTGCAGTGAGCTGAGATTGTGCCACTGCACTCCAGCCTGGGTGACAGAGTATAACTCTGTCTCAAAAGAAAAAAAAAAAGCCAGGCATGGTGGCTCACTCCTTTGGGAGGCCGAGGTGGGTAGATTAGGAGGTCAGGAGTTCGAGACTAGCCTGACCAACATAATGAAACCCTGTCTCTACTAAAAATACAAAAATTAGCTGAGTGCATGCCTGTAATCCCAGCTACTTGGGAGGCTGAGGCAAGAGAATCGCAGAGGTTGTGGTGAGCCGAGATTGCACCACTGAACTCCAGCCTGGGCAACAGAGCGAGACTGTATCTCAAAAATAAACACATAAATAAAAAATAAAAACACAAAAACTCAGTCAGATATGGTGGCATGTGCCTGTAGTCCCAGCTACTCGAGAGGCTGAGACAAGAGAATCACTTGAACCCAAGAGGGAGAGGTTGCAGTGAACCAAGATCATGCCATTGCACTCCAGCCTGGGGGAAAGAGCAAGATTCTGTCTCAAAAAAAAAAGGTGGTTGTGATGGTGGCTCATACCTGTAATCCTAGCACTTTGGGAGGCCAAGGTGGAAGGCTCTCAAGAGACCAGGAGTTTGGGTCCCGCCTGGACAACATACAGAAACCCTGTCTCTACAAAAAAATCAAAAAATTAGCTAGGTGTGGTGGTGTGCACCTGTAATCCCAGCTACTTGGGAGGCTGAGCAGGAGGACCGCTTGAGACCGGGAGGTTGAGCCTGCAGTGAACCACGGTCATGCACTGCACTCCAGTCAGGGTGAAGTGGGTGGGCTTTTCACCTGATCTCCTCATTGTCTCTAACACTTAAACAGGTCTCAGGCCTGGTGCAGAGGTACATGTACCTCCACTGCTGGATAAAGCCCAGCTTTTGCCTGCTGGCACTGTCAGTTCTACCCAGCCTTCTATGACCTCATTCTCTCCCCATTTTCCACTTTGTGACTTCATCAGTTAAAGATCCCATTTCAGCCACCAAGGTTGAGAGGCCCCAGCCTCTGTAAAGAGCCCAATTCCTTTCCAGAATCAACCCTGGGGTGGCTTTAGGGCTGAGCTCCTTGCAGGTCATGCTGGATCCACAGTGGTGCACCGGTCCGTGCTGAGGTCTTCAGATACCTGTCGATGGGTATTTGGCTCCTTGCTTCCACTGACCTCTTGAGTACTTTCAAAGATCGGTGTCAAGGGCACCCGTGCTGCTGTTTCTAGAGCATCTCTACAACCCACGGTGGCCTCTCCTCTCTCTGCGGGCGATGGACAGCACAGTCCCTTCAGCCCTGGAGCTGCCCCAGCGGCTGGCACCAAACTCGACGCAGAGCCCGCAGAGTCCGGAAGAGGAGGAGCCGAACCTGCTGAGCAGTTTGGCTGCAGTCCAGACCCTGGCCAGTGTCATCCGGCCTTGCTATGGCCCTCATGGCCGGCAGAAACTCCTGGTGACCATGAGAGGAGAAACAGTGTGCACAGGGTGTGCCGCTGCCATCCTCAGGGCACTGGAGCTGGAGCACCCCGCTGCGTGGCTCCTCCAGGAAGCAGGCAGAGAACAGTGGGGACGGCACAGCCTTTATGGTTCTGCTGACAGAAGCGCTGCTGGAACAGGCAGAGCACCTGCCGAAGGCTGGCCTGCCTCGCCCACAGCTCCGGGAGGCCTACGCCACAGCCACTGCGGAAATCCTGACCACGCTGCCCTCCCTGGCCATCCAGTCTCTGGGGCCTTTGGAAGATCCATCCTGGGCCCTCCGTTCTGTGATGAATACCCACACCCTGTCCGCCACGGACTACCTTACCAAGCTGGTGGCCCGTGCCTGCTGGGCTACCAAGGAGCTAGATGGCAGCTTCAAGCCTGAGCGTGTTGGAGTGTGCATGCTGCACGGGAGGACACTGGAGGATTCCTGCCTCCTCCCGAGGTTAGCAATCTCTGGGAACCTCTGTGGGCAAATGGCTGCAGTGTTAAGTGGTGCCAGGGTGGCTCTCTTTGCTTGCCCCTTTGGTCCTGCCTGTCCAAATGTACCAGCAACGGCCCGTCTCTCTAGTCCTAGATCTAGTTCAGTTTAGTAAAGGAAATGACCAATTACTAGGAAAGCTAGTAGGCCAGCTGGCAGCCGCGGGAATTAACGTGGCAGTGGTGTCGGGAGACGTCGACGAGGAGACCCTCGCACTGGCGGACAAGTATGGTATCATGGTGACTCAAACTAGGTCTCGGATGGAGATCGTTTACCTGAGTGAGGTGTCGGACACACCTCTGCTGCCTCATCTGCTCCCTCCCCGGAAACCAGGCAAGTGCCAGAGGGTTTACAGGCAGGAGATGGGAGATGGCTTGGCTGTGGCATTTGAGTGGGAATGTACAGGCTCACCTGCCCTCACCATGGTCCTCAGGGGAGCCACCACCCAGGGGCTGCGGAGTGCAGAGCAGGCCATCTACCACGGCATTGATGCCTATTTCCAGCTATGTCAAGATCCCAGACTGGTTCCAGGGGCTGGGGCTACAGAAATGGCTTTGGCAAAAATGCTCTCTGATAAAGGAAGCAGACTGGAAGGGCCCAGGGGGCCTGCATTCCTAGCATTTGCCCGGGCCCTGAAGTGTCTTCCTAAAACCCTGGCAGAGAATGCAGGCTTAGCTCTCTCAGATGTGGTGGCAGAAATGAGTGGAGTGCACTTCTAATGTGTGTGGGAGCACAATGGATAATAAAAGTGGCCCAGGAAGGGGTGTGGGACACCCTAATGGCCAAAGCCCAAGGATTTCAAGCGGTGGCTGAGGTTGTGCTGCAGCTCGTGACTGTAGATGAAATCGCTGTGGCCAAGAAAAGTCCCACACATCCGCAGATCTTCCCTCCTGACTCTAAGAAGGCAAAGAAACACCCACCTCCTGTGGAAAAAAAAAAATCCTTGGAATGAATAAGTAGTGACACCCTCAATAAAACGGGGATTGCCAAGAAGGGGACAGTCACCCCAAAACTGAATGTCTGCCTTTATTCCATGTTTGGAACTCGATTCCATTTCTTTAAATAAAAACAACATGAAGGAACAGAACGGTTCTTTTCAGAGTTCCTTTCCAGTTCTCGACTTCTTCATTTCCTGTTCCTCTCCATCAGGTTCTGTTCCTTTCCTATGATAAGAGCAGGATTCAATTCTATTAAGATTTTTAAACTGAGTACCTATCTGGTCTTCAGGCATGCAAAAAACAGTGCAGCGATCTCTTCCTTACTGTTTGAGCTTTCCCTGCATGATATTCTGATATATATGGACTTACATCTAAATGTCGCTTTAGGAGTCTGAAAACAGTTGCAGCTTATAAGAGTGGCCAGTCATTCCTGATGTGGTTATTTGAAAAAAAAAAAAAAGGGACTATGGCCCAGTGCAATGGCTCATGCCTGTTATCCCAGCTCTTTGGGAGGCCGAGGTGGGAGGATTACCTGAGGTTGGGAGCTCAAGACCATCCTGACCAACATAGAGAAATCCTGTCTCTACTAAAATTACAAAAGTTAGCAGGGCATGGTGGTGCATGCCTGTAATCCCAGCTATTTCCTTGATACACTGCACTCCAGGCTGCGAAACAAGAGCTAAACTCTGTCTCAAAAAAAGAAGGGGCTATCATCTTTTTTGTTTTTTTTTTTTTGGAGATGGGGTCTCACTCTGTCACCACGCTGGAGTGCAATGACACGATCTTGGCTCACTGCAACCTCTGCCTACTGGGTTCAAGCCATTCTCCTGCCTTAGCCTCCTAAGTAGGACTACAGGCACGCACCACCACGCTCAGCTAATTTTTGTATTTTTTAGTAGAGATGGGGTTTCACCATGTTGGCTAGGATGGTCTTGATCTTTTGACTTCGTGATCCACCCACCTCGGCCTCCCAAAGTGCTGGGATTACAGGTGTGAGCCACTGTGCCTGGCTGGGGCTATCATCTTAAAGCAAGAGAGAGAGAAACGAGAGAGAGAGAGAGAGAGAGAGAGAGAGAGAGAGAGAGAGAGAGAGAGAGAAAGTCAGGAAAAGGAGCTGCTGTGGTGGCAGGCAGAAATTGAACTTAAAAAAAAATTTTGCCTGGCACAGTGGCTCATGTCTATAATTCCTGTATTTTGGGAGGCTGAGACAGGAAGATCGTTTCTGTCCAGGTGTTCAAGACCAGCCTGGACAACATAGTGAGACCTTGTCTCTACAAAAATAAAAATAACCGGGTGCAGTGACTCACGCCTGTAATCCCAGCACTTTGGGAGGCCGAAGCGGGTGGATCATGAGGTCAAGAGATTGAGACCATCCTGGTCAAACCAGGATGAAATGGTGAAACCTGGTAGAGTTTGTGAGATGAGATGGTGAAACCCCGTCTCTACTAAAAATACAAAAAAAATTAGCTGGGCACAGTGGCATGTGCCTGTAATCCCAGCTACTCAGGAGGCTGAGGCAGGAGAATTGCCTGAACCCAGGAGACGGAGGTTGCGGTGAGCCAAGATCGTGCCATTGCATTCCAGCCTGGGTAACAAGAACAAAACTCTGTCTCAAAAACAAACAAAAATAAATTAGCCAGGCTTGGGTAATATGTACCTGTAGTCCCAGCTACTCAGGAGGCTGAGGTGGGAGGATCACTTGAGCCCAGGAGGTTGAGGTTGCAGTGAGCTGTGATTGCGCCACTGTACTGCAGCCCAAGCAACAGAGCAAGACCCTGTCTCAACAGAACAAAACAAAACAAAACAAAAGCCAGCAAACATCCTTGGCATACATAACAGACAATAAGAACACATACCTTAGGGCTGTGCTAAGGTTGTTGTGTAGGGGAGGAGAAGCTGAGGTAGGGGGCAGGGCTAGGATTGGACAACCTTGGGCATTAAAGAAGGGGTTTGAGCAGAGCTGAGTGGGTTCAGCATCTAAAACCCAAAGCCTTCCACCTTAACCATCCAAGTTACCATAGAAAAAGATAAGAACCTAGGCCTAGGGCAGTGGCTCACGCCTATAACTCCGGCACTTTGGGAGGTGGGCGGATCACGAGGTCAGGAAATCCAAACCATCCTGGCCAACATGGTTTAACCCGGTCTCTACTAAAAAATGCAAAAATTAGCTGGGCGTGGTGGTGTGCACCTGTAATCCCAGCTACTCAGGAGGCTGAGGCAGGAGAATCACTTGAACACAGGAGGCAGAGGATGCATTGAGCCGTGATCGCACCATTGCACTCCAGCCTGGGCGGCAGAGCGAGACTCTGTGTCAAAAGACAAAGTAAAAGAAAAAGAAGAAAGAAACCATTACCTTATAGCATGTATATGAGTTGCAGCACAGCAAAAAAAAAAAAAAATTATTTTTTGAGACAGAGGCTTGCTCTGTTGCCCAGATGCAGGAGTACAATGGTGTGATCTCAGCTCACTGCAACCTCCACCTCCCAGGCTCAAGTGATTCTCCTGCCATAGCCTCCTGAATAGTTGGAATTACAGGTGCCCACCACCAGACCTGGCTAATTTTTGTATTTTTAGTAGAGATGGGGTTTCGCCATATTGGCCAGGCTGGTCTCAAACTCTGGACCTCAGGTGATCTACCCACCTCAGCCTCCGAAAGTACCAGGATTTGCAGGGGTGAGCTGCTATGTCCCAACCCAATTCGCTACACCTTCATTGTGCCTAGAATCTAAGTAACCTCTTTAATGTCATCTTTAAATGTCCTTTTTTTTTTTTTTTTTTTTTTGAGACAGTCTTGCTCAGTCGGCCAGGCTGGAGTACAATGGCACAATCTTGGCTCACTGCAACCTCTACCTCCCAGGTTCAAGCAATTCTCCTGCCTCAGCCTCCCAAGTAGCTAGGACTACTGGCACCCATCACCATGCCCGGCTAATTTTTTTTGAATTTTTAATAGAGATGGGGTCTCACCATGTTGACCAGGCTGGTCTTGAACCCCTGACCTAAAATGATTCGCCCACCTTGGCCTCCCAAAGTGTTGGAATTACAGGCGTGAGCCACCGCACCCAGCCTAAGTGTCCTCTTTAGTTGTTAAAACATGTGACTCAAACATCAAGTTGTTTTTTTTTTTTCTCCTACTGACTATGGAGAAGTTGATCAGAATTTGACCTCAATTTGGGCAAATCCAGATTCTTCTTCTGAGGTTACAGGGTCAAGGTCTCCTAGCATGCTAGGTCTCAGTCTCCAAAGGCTTTGGCTTTGGGGTTGGCTACATATTTCTCTTCCAAGACAAGCTGCTTGCTTCAATTCCAAAAGCAGTTGAATTTCAGAAATGGCAATTCCTGGAGCACATTTCCTATAAGAACTTGTAGCTGGTGGACTCATCCCAGATCCCATCCAGCTCTGTGACACTGCTTTACTGCGCTCCACATGGATCTAGCAAGCAGAGAGCAAGAGTCACAACCCGGAGAAAACAGGGGAAGAAAATGAGAACTGAGTCCTGGGAAGGGAAGGAGATGAGAGTCTGACTCGAAAAGTGGAGGCTGAGACTGAGTGGGAACTGCTCATGCATTTAGGCTGTATGTAGGCCAGTCATGGTGGCTCACGCCTGCAATCCCAGCACTTTGGGAGGCCAAGGCAGGCGGATCACTTGAAGTCAGGAGTTCCACTGATGAGCAGTGATAATCCTTTTCTATAAAAAAATTTAAAAATTCGCCGAGTGTGGTGGCATGCACCTGTAGTCCCACCTACTCGGGAGGCTGAGGTGAGAAAATCGCTTGAACGCGGGAGGCGAAGACTGCAGTGAGCTGAGATCATGCCACTGCACTCCAGCTTGGGCAACAGAGCAAGACTCCTTCTCAAAATCACCATCATGATAAATTAAAAAATAAAAATTAAGCATGGTGGTGCACACCTGTAGTCCCACCTACTTGGGGGGCTGAGGTGGGCGCTTTCTTGAGCCCAGGAAGTAGAGGCTGCAGTGAGCAGTGACTGGGCCACCACACTCCAATCTGGGTGACAAACTGTGAGACCCTTACTCAAGGGAAAAAAAAGACTTCAATCTACAAAAACACTGGAGTTCTGATGAAGAGAAAAAGGTATCGATTCGAAACTCTAAAAAGAACTGTGAAGAGAAGATTGAAAACCAAACAGAAAAAAAGAGTTGTCCTAGTTTGCCAACCCTTTCTCTGCATGGGCCAGCCTCTTCTCATGTAAACTCAGTTGTTTCTCTTCTTTATTTTTGTTTTTTTAAGATGGGGTTTCACCATGTTGGTCAGGCTGGTCTCGAACTCCTGACCTCAGGTGATCCGCCCACCTCAGCCTCCCAAAGTGCTTGGATTACAGGCGTGAGCCACCGAGCCCGGACTGTTTTTTTGAAGATGGGGGTTTCACCATGTTGGTCTGGCTGGTCTTGAACTCCCGACCTCAGGTGATCTACCCTCCTTGGCCTCCAAAGAAATTGGATTACAGGTGTGAGCCACCACGCCCTGCCTGTAAACTGAGTTGTTTCTCAAGAGTGTTGTTTGTTTTGGGCTGGAGTGTAGCGGTGTGATCCTGGCTCACTGCAACCTTGGTTTCCTGAGTTCAAGGGATTCTCCTGCCTCAGCTTCCTGAGTAGCGGGGGTTATAGGCACCCGCCACCACACCCGGCTAATTTTTGTATTTTCAGTAGAGACAGGCTTTTGCCATGTTGGCCAGGCTGATCTGGAACTCCTGGCCTCCAGCGGTCCACCTGCCTCGGCCTCCCAAAGTACTGGGATTATAGTGAGCCACCACGCCTGGCCTCAGTCTTTTCTGAACTCTTCCTTCCAGGCCTACAAACCTGAAGGCTATGTAGTACAGAGGCAGAGAGAGAGAAAGCTAAGATTCAATAGAGGAGCAAAAACAGAAAACATCAACACTGGGGCATCTGAACGGGAGGGAAGGAGAATATCAGGGCTTGAGGTCCCAACCATTTGATCTGTAAATAAGCAAAACGAATTTGAAAAGACCTGCTTGTGCTGTGTTTGCACCAAGATGCTGCATCAGCCATGGACCGGAGGCTAATCGCGGGGTAATGGGAGAAGGAGGTGGAGGAGGAGATCAGTAATGGACTTGGGTAAGGTTCGCTAGACCACTCCCGTTTCTACCTGAGCTGGAATAGCAGCTATCGATGATGTGCACCACGGATGTGAGGGGGCAACACTTGAGTATTAACTGATATTAACTGATGGGCTACTTCCCATGTGATT